AGTAGGAGTAGGAGTAGGAGTAGGAGTAGGAGTAGGAGTAGGAGTAGTAGTAGTAGTAGTAGTAGTAGTAGTAATAGGAGTAGTAGTAGTAGTAGTAGGAGTAGTAGTAGGAGGAGGAGTAGTAGCAGTAGTAGTAGTAGTACAGTAGTAATAACTCGTACTTACATGTACTTACTAGTAGTTCTCTGGCCTCATAGCGCGAGGCGAAGTGCTTGTAGACCCAGTCATCATTCTGTCCGCACCAGCTCAGGACCGGCATGCGTAGATCTGTGCCAAAACAGCACACAAGTGGGTCTCGCTCAAGGGTCAAGAGCCAGCACGCAAGTACCATCTTAGAGCTCGTAGAGCTTCTCCACAACTAGGGCATCTGGTTTTGACCCACGAACATGAGAATTTGTTGAGAACTTTAGTCCTTTTTGGTCCGTTATACTGCGCAAAGTGAATTCCACCTTCGCCGCATGACGCCTAGAACATTCACAAGTTGACTATACAGGATACAAAAGGATTCCCAGGATGCAGCCGTGATCATGTCAAGTGTTCCTCTGCGTATCTCTGCGTCTCATCTTGCCTGGAGTATATCGTGGCTTCACCACTGGTTCTTCAGTCGCCCAATTCGACACGATGTCCATGTATTCGGCAGGTTCCTGTACTCGGTGCATCGAGGGACAGACCGGTCTATTCGGCAAATGGTGTTAGCCATTCAATGTGACATTGGAAGAAAGGAAAAACGCATCATTTGCCATCTCAGACTGACAAACAACTCGTTGTCTCCGGCGCATTGTTGAACCCGATCGACGTCCTGGCAAACTGCTTCCAGGAAGGATGGCATCTCCTGCCGAAGGAATTGGAGACATAGGAAGGTGATCCAAAGCACCAAGAGCCAAGAGCAGAATTCTAGGCGGTTTTGGGAAAGCTTAAACTCTTGAACATCCAAAGCTAAAACAACCTGGCTGTTGTTGAATGTTTCTGGCAAGTGCTTGATGAACAGTTGACACTTGCCATCATTTGCCATCTTACCATCCTGAGGCCCAATCAACGACACGAGCACCTGCCAGCAGAACTGGAGTCTTCACTGGGTCTGGATGACACTTGTCTAAGCAAAGCATTTCCAAGGTGTTATAGCATATTCGGATGCATATGGGTGGAATGGTGTGGAATGCTACAGGCTAGGTCCTAGGTGATCTTGCTCGGGCTGTCAGGATATGGTCATCTGTGACCAGAAAAGAGTTAGCATGAGCCGAGGAGATAAAATGTCTGTAGATACCAAAAACTTGCTGGGCAATGGTTTCGTAGTTTATTTTGATGTCGGACACCTAACAAAATCAGAAGCACTCGTCTCCTCACACCAGTCTCATCAGCCCGCGAAAAGCTTCAAGGATCCTTCACAGCGAACCATAGCGAACCTTCACAGCTTTGAACCGTACCCAGGCGCGGACCGGCCTCCACACGTGGGAAATCCGCGGCCAAGCGATGTAAAGGCCAAGCCCAGCTGCCCTGGACTGACCCGATGCGGAACGAAACATGACGACGAAGTGACAACGATTCTCGTCGGAAAGCGATGGTTTGAACATATTGGAAGCCTCGAGACCGTTGCTGGATCACATGGCGCAGCATGGTGAAGCTGTACGTGCGTGCTTTGATTGGACTCTCAGATACCCTATAGGCGCAGGGAAGTTCAACCTCATTCAACATGAGTCAATTGTCAGAGATCGGCCGGTCTTCTTTTTCGCAGCGTCCACCGAAACTGGCTCAGCAGCATGGAAGCGAAGGCCCATTGAGCAGCTCCCTGGCAAGCAGCAACCTTAGTGGGCGCCGTGGAGCTGCTTTGCTTCACGGAACTTCCCACTTCGAACGGAGACTAACTCTGCCCTTTTCCTCTAGTGTTCCTGACAGCCAGCGGCTGATATCCTTTTCTACCAGCACCCGCCCACCCTACCCTTTTCAGGTGACATTCCGTCAGACTGAGCCACAGCAGCGTGGTATGTCACCGCATTGCCCCCATGTGCCATCAGTGCCAACACTGCCTCCCACTGCATGGCAGCTGCACAGCTGCTCACGCCAGCTGTGACAGAGATCACATCCGCCTGGCAAGGATCCGCTGTGGGCCATTGGGAATCCTCCAATCGTGAGAAAACATCTCGGCAAGGGACCGGGGATCCTCAAATTATGTGCAAACACATTGGAAACTGTGCTGGTTTAGCGTAGTTGCTCGCGTTATGGGGTTCCCCCAAGGCATCCGCGCGGTAAACACGTTAAACATCAAAAAATTATGTGTTTACCGTTTTTACCGGGGGGGGCCTTTTTCTTCTACCATATCCGCGGTAAAAGCGGTAAAAATTGTTGTGTGTTTTTTTTAAATAACCCGTCTTTACCGGGGGGGCAAACGGTCCTATTTTTTAACCGCTTTTAACGGAGGGTCGCCCCTTTTTGTTCTACCATATCCGCGCTAAAAACGGTAAAAATCGAAAGTGTTCGATCCAAGTTAAAAGTCATTAAATGTTGATCAAACATCAAACTCCTCTTGTCGAAAAGGGCACACGCTCCTATATGATAGGAGGGGTCAACCCCACCAGATTATAGGAAGATACCCAAGGGCTGTAACATTTAAACCTTTTTGTTTACAGAGGTCTTCTAGCTTGCGACCTGTTCGGTAAACATTGAAAATTACTATTGTGTTGTTTAACGGAGAGTCGCTTGCTCCTTGTTCTTCTACCATATCCGCGGTAAAAAATGTAAAAATACTTTTTATTTTTTCCGTTGTTGCCTGGGGGCGCTCCCTTTTTTAATACCATATCCGCGGAAAAAAAGGTAAACAAATATTAAAGACCGTTTTTACCCCGGGGGGGCGCCCCTTTTTCTTCTACCATATCCGCAGTAGTAAAAACGGTAAAAGTTGCTGTGTTTTTACCGTTTTTACCGGGGGGCGCCCCTTTTTCAATACCATATCCGCGGTAAAAACGGTAAAATTTGAAACTGTTCTTTTTCTACCTTTCTTTCTGCGGGGTCGCGAAAGGGTACCCCTTGGCCTTAGCAAAACAACGCTCGCGAACCGGCTTAGGTTCTGTCTTGTTGCCATGCAATGCCATGCATATCTTTTACCGATGCCCTCTTGGCCTGCATCATCCTCGCATGAACTTCCACAAGTAGTTGCAAAGCCTCAGCTCCACATCACTGGAGCGTCCCATGCAGCAAGAAAAACACTGAAAATGGAACATCAGGTGGGCCAGGAGCGGTCTAACTCTATTCGCCCAAACGAACTCACCGCCAAACCCGAGGGATCGTCGGGTCACGTGCTGCCATTGACTCCCTTTCTCACAGGCACTGATTGCTGCGTTACATGAGGTGAGGTCAGGCTCCAGTCCTGGCTCCAACTCAAGCATGGCCCAAATTTGGCACACAACAAACCTCAATCATGCCATGTCAACCACCAGAGCCAAAACACACCCAGACCAAAGGCCCAGACCCAAACATGCCGAGAGGAACCAAACCCTTCGCTGGAGAGCTCTGTGAAAAGCCAGAGCGCCATCGGCCAAGCGTTGCCCTTCTCACATGCGCTGATACATGCATTGTAGGTGACCATTGTGCACTCGATGCCTCGGTTGCGGCGCATGGAAAGGTAAAATTCCAGGCAGTCATGGTGAGCAAGATCATAGCCCCAAAAAATAGCACATGTGCCATGCCCCAGTCCAGGATGGCCAACTTCCAGGACGGACTTGGAATCGCCTGTTTTCACCTGTTGTTAAACCCATCTTGGCCAGGAAACGGTGGCCAAGTGCTTCAGCCAACAACATCAATGCCTTCTTCCACTGCTGGTTCTTCTCACAGGCACTGATGGCAGAGTTGTAGCTGATGATGTCCGCTTCTAAGGATGTTGCATTGTTCAGATCTTCCAGCATGTGAATGGCAGCTCTCCATGCACCACCGGAATTGCACGCGCTCATAGTGGCATTGAAAGACACCACATCTCCAGATAGTTTTGAGTTGGTGCTCTTGCTGAGCAAGTTCATAGCGCATTGCCATCTACCGCTCTGCTCAGTTGCGCTGATTGCAGCATTGTACAGCAAAATATTTCCCTGCACCTGCTGAGAACAAGCCACAAGCAAGGACAAGGCCAGCTGCCACTGCCCAAAGAATTCTGTAGAGCTGACTACTGAGGTGAAAGTAATGATGTTTGGCTGCAGTTTTGCAGCGCGGAGGTCCTCCAAGAACATGCAAGCACCACTCCAGCTCGATGGTTCCATAGCATCACACAGGCCGATCAGAGACGTGTACGAAACCTGCCATTTATCAGTGATCGCCATCTCCATAACAGATTGGTTAGCTTCTGAAACAAGAGAAAAATGCACCATGTTCAAGCCTGGACACTATGGAGGACTGCAGAATGCTACTTTTCATCTTCCTGAACTGCTGCAAAGCGCTCTTCCAAGCAGTTGAACAAACCGCCATGCTTGCATTACATGTAATGCTGCTGCAATCTAAGCCTTTCTCTGCCAAGGCTGTAAGTAAACCTGCAGCCTGGCACCATCCCTGCAGGCTCTCCAGGGTGGAGATGGCGGCATTGTAGTGAATCACTGTAGCTTGCAGCGTTTTCCTGTACAAATCTTGGAGCAAGTCCAAAGAGCTTGGCCACTCCAAGATCGCAGATCCATAAGATGGTGGGCTTGGATGTAAGGTCTTCCTCCAAACTGCGCCTCACAACTTGCTTTGCCAGGCTTGCATGATGTGTTTGAGTGGTTCACAAGAATCACAGTACACAGTGTGCCTGGATCTTCCCATGTCTTGACATTTGGCTTCTTTACTTCATGGATCGTCGTTGGCATGGTCTTAATTAATTATAACACCTCATGTTATTCCTTTTGGGCTGCGCCTAACAAGCCGCAGGTCAGGTGCCACTGGCTTCCGCAGGAACTCATCATGGTGTTGAAGGCGACGATCGAAGGTTCTAGAGTGACCCTGGAGGTTTCTTGAAGCAAAGACAGCGTCAAAGGCCAGGTTCGCAACCTGGGTTCACCTCGGCAGGCTGTGATCACTGCTCCATAGAGGATGATGTTTCTCTGCAAAGCCTCCAGGTCTTCAGGGCCAAAAGCTAGTCACATTGAGGAAGACTCCACTACTCGACTCGACCGAGTCCGAGCGATCACAAAGCCTTTTTCGACCGGGAAGACCAGCTGTGCAGCTTCCCCAACCCCAAGTTAAGGGAAGCACAAAACACTTAAGACAATTAAGGCAAGGTCTTCCGAACTTCCCAAAAGGCCAGCAAACCTGGGAAGCCTGTAGGTCCCTGCCCAGCAAGTTTTGCAACCCTGGACCTGATGTTGAATCTCACGAAACTGAGACAATGCACCCTTCCATTTCTGCTGCTTCGCCGATCTGATCGCTAGCAGCTCATCGGACATCAATGGAATCAATGGTGATGCTCATCGGACAGGTCTGATCACTTCTCCGACCTCGAAGCCGCAGCTCCGCTCCCGCCATGAGCCAAAACAGCTGTATTGGCCACACCTCCGCGGTGGAGAGCAGGAAGTCGCTGTCACTTGAGCAAACGAGACGGGCTGCAGAAGACGGGCTGTCACTTGTGGCGTCATGCTGGTGATCGGCGGCCCGAAGAACGATAATGAGAGATCCTGGAAGATTCAGCTTCCCCTGCACTGAATGAAACAAGTCTAAGCAGAACGATCAACGATCTGGGGAAGTGCAAATTTCCCCAAAACTAGGCAGTGGACACTGCGAACTCAAAGTCAAGCACACAGCAATCTGTGATGTCCCACAGCAAAATGCATTAAACTTCCTCTTGCATGCAAGTGCATACCAAAAGCAGTCTTGAAAGTGCTTGGGCTATTTCCCTTGCATGCTGTTTATTATGGGTTTTATCCTGTTTGATCCTTTCTGGGCAGCACCCCCTTCCTGCCAATTCGAGAATTCCAGGCCATGTCACTGGAATTGGTTCCGTAATTGACCGAAGCTAGCGGTCAAAAGAAGATTCAGGCAGCCAAAAGCACTCGAGTTGCAACTTGAAAAAGTGAAAAAGGTCTATTCTACCCCTAAATGGCCGCTTGAAGTCTGGAAACATGATGCATCATGCACCATCTAGTTCGCCATGAGGCTCAACCCCCTCAGGTCATGCAAAACGTCCTGCAATAGATCCAAGACTTCCACCCTCAGCACCTGCAGTACCAACAGATGTCTGAAGCCTCTAGGAAGTCTCTCATATTTCTCATATGTTACTTCATATCACGGTAGCTGCACATGGGAGTGAAGCAATTTGACCGTCACCTGTGACCATGCATTCTGAATAGACATTCGCCAGCAAGCATGGGAACACGATGGAACACGACACATGCCCTAATGCTCTTTATACATCATGTCTACGCACGCAACATATGTCTCATTCCAAGAACCGGAGAACAGCTGAAAGTCATGCTGCTGAGTCAAATATGTAGGACATTCAAAGCAATGCAAAACCATTGAGACAGGACCAAGCGTGATGAACAAGA